CTTTTGAGAACTTCCATACTACTTTCCAAAGTGGTTGGAACTCAAAAAATGAAATCCCCCAACAACAAATCCTCAAAGAAACAACTGCCTGATAAATACGTGGGCTAAAGACTTAAAGAGAAACTTCTCTGAATAGGAAAGAAGGATGGCCAATAAACACATGAAGAAATGCTCAACCTCTCTAGCCATAAAAGAAATACAATCAAAACAACATTGAGATTCCACCTCGCCCCAGTTAGAATGGCTATAATCAAGAACTCAAATAACAACAGATGCTGGAGGAGATGTGGCCAGAAAGGAACTCTACTGCATTGTTGGTGGGAGTATAAACTGGTTCAACTACTTTGGAAAGAGATTTAAAAAAAATTTTTTTTGACTATTTACTTAGACTCCAGTGGCTGAGATTGCTTCATCTGAAAAACTGTTATCTGATTTGCTCCAGTATCCCAAACTTTACATCAAGGTGTAATCAGACCAAATTGCTTATGCCTAGAGTTCAAAAATCTTCAGCAAATGAGTTTGGCAAGGTTACCAGACCTTATAAATGAAGGGAAGGGAACAAAAAATGCCCTCCCACCCATAACTGCATAGTATGAAAAATTTTCCAACTTCAGTGTTTATGCTAGTCTCAACCACAACAGGGAAGGTCTGATATTTAAAGCCCCATATTTAAATCTCTAAAATGAACCCAAGCCCTCCCAAATGCCAGGGCCTGACTATACCTCCCTGATCTTTTCACCTAAAGACTTAGCCAAGTCATTCCTGTGTTCTGCAATCCTGAAGGAATCTAATGAGATACGGCAGTGGTGATTGTGACACTTGTTTGTAGTGTGTTTCAAACAAGTCACTTAACCTCTCTGAACCTCTGTATGCTTATCTGTACAATGCCTAATGTGGTAGGCAGAAAGGTCAAGTGAGCAGATGTGGGGATGGAGGTGATCTCAAGGTTTACCACTTGCTTCTGACATGCTCTCTCAGCATTTCAGCCCCCTTATTTTGGTGGCCTTTCCTTTTAAGGCTGTAGGTATATCCATATGCAACCTTCAGGGATACTGAGGCAGAAGGAAGCCAGCAGTGGGAGGGGATCTTTCTTCACACATCTGCTGGTAGCAGAGTCATATAAAGAATGGCATGTTTTATTACAAAGAAACCCTAATCAAAATGCAGCCTGGATGTCTTTGCCTTCCTTCTCAGTGAGGCAAGAAGCTCCTGAGATTTTTGCTGGTGAAAATTTCAGGCAGGTAAAAGCGGTTCTTGAGTTTCTGAAGCTAACAGCATGGTGACCTGGACTGTACATAGACGGGGGGGGGGGTGGATGTCGGGTAGCAGCAGCAAATGAAGGCAGATGCCAGGCAGAAGGCTTGTCAGAACACACTGCTACCTTCAGTCCTGTGGGGGCTGGCTTGGTGGGGCATAAGCAGACTTGTGGAAGCTTGCTAGTGAATAAGGGCTGCCAAGGATAGCCTTGATGCTGTCTCCTGAGCGCCTGTAGAAAATCAGGAATTGGGCATCATCCCAGATCTATTGAGCCAGAGTTGGCATCTGCAAAATGATCCCAGCTACTTTGGAGCACAGCAGCACAGGAAATAACTTGGAGCTGTTTGTTCATTGATGCATCTGAGAGCTTATACTCAAACTAGACTAGAGAGGTGCTCAGTTAGTGCAACCACTCATTTATATCCTTGGCCACATGTGATTGACCTGTGAACTGTGAACATCTCCGTGACACCAGATCAGGGTCTCAGTGGTGGCCAAGATTAGGACTTAGGACCCAACTACAAATATCCAGGAAAACAATTTGGATGAATGTAGTCATTCTTTGGTGTTTATGGTTGTGATTGGTTCTGTGCCTCCTGTGGTATCCTGTAGATATTACAATCCTCAGAAGCTTAAGTCCCTCATATCAAATGATGTACTATTTACACACAGCCTAGGTGCATCCTTCTGTATATTTTCCCTCACATGTAGCAATGGTACAGGGGTTTGAACTCAGAGTTTTGTACTTGGCTAGGCAGATACTATATCACTTCAGCCACTCCTCAATTCCTTTTGCTTTCATTATTTTTTCACAGCCCTATCTGGTCTGCAGTCCTCCTATTTCTGCTTCCCACATATCTAGGATGTGAGGCACACACCACTGTACCCTACTTTTTATGGGTCATAATGGTGCTTCTCATCAACTTTCTGCCTAGGCTAGCTTCAAGCTGTGATTCTCCTATATCCATCTCCCAAGTAGCTAGGATTACAGATACATGTAACCACAACTGGCCAAAATAATCTTCAATGAAAATTTAGTTGCACTCAGTTCTGGAGCCCCTACATTCTAGACTATTAAGACAGGCTGAGGAAGGCATATTGCCCCTCAACTGTCATTATTAAGGGGTGCAATGCAGGTATTTTTGAGGTGATATGTGGCACTGCCAAAGTGGTATTCTGGGCAACTTTGTTCACAGATGACAGTAGAGAGCCTAGACATCCATGCTATCATTCACATTAGGCCCTGTGTGCCCGGAATTTCATACCCCAGCCCTCGTGTCTGGATCTCCTGGTTTAGAAAAATGGAGTTTCTAATAGCAACTTAACCATAGAGAAGCTAAATGAGGTACTCCAGTTGTGTTCCCTGGGGAGGAAGGGAATTACTGCTGTAAAGATTTTGCCATAGTGACAGTGGAGCACACACGGAGGTATATTAGCTATGTCCTGATGCCCAGTGAATGGATGGCTTTCTCATTCACTGTCTTCCTATGAACTCTGCTGTGGAAGGCCCATCGGCCCAGAAGGACATTCCCTACCCAAGTGTTCAGAGGACCCACAAAGGCTCCTGGAGGGAAGAGACACTGGGTTATTTTTTGAGAAGCACTTTTGAGAAGTAACAGAATAAAGCCTCAAACAAAGCAAAATAGCCCAGCCTCATGGGCAGAAACATTTCTAAGGAGACAATCCTGGATTGAGATCACATGATGTTGAATCTAGAGTATGTTAATGCCCTTCTGCCTGGCCCATGCAAAGACACTGGGATGTCCAGCCATGCTATAGGTATATCACTCATCCTGTCTGGAGACAACGATGCCCTTGAGGAGACACTTCCTTCTCTTCATGTGGAGATTCAGCAGAGTTTGTGGTTTTAACTCACCAATGCATTGCCAGCTGCAGCCCCTAGCAGTACCTGCCAAGAAAGACAAGCCATCTCAGGATGGAAGGAATTCCTGGACTAGGCCCAATGCCAGACTCTGCTCCCAATGGGAGAGGTACCTATGGTGTGGGTGGGGGAGACCCACTTTCACACAAGCCCATTCAAGGCTTAGCAGAGATGAAGAGGACACATATGTGATGTGCTGAATCTGACCTTGCCCAGCTGTCCTAGGGAGGGCACGCAGCTCCTGCCTAGGTAACTTGCAGGTCCACAACTAAGTCCACATGGCCTCTACTTCCTGTTCAATCTTCCCTTTGCTTGTGAATTTCCTTGGCCAATCACCTTTCCTTCTTTCCTTCTGGATCTCAAGCAACCTTGAGGTTCTGCTGGGCCTCCTTAGGCCTCTAGCTGCCCTCAGGGGCCACCTTCAGTTCCTGGAAAGCTATTTGACTGGAATACTTTATATCATTATTCAGTTGCCTCTTTAGTGTCCTTATAGCACCTGTAGACTGTAGAGTTGTGATGCTCTGAGCGGGATTGTATAGACCTCAAGCCTGTTGCCCTGACTGGCAGTGTACCAGCCCCACCAGTACCCTAAACCTCTTTACCGTTACTGTTTGGTGAGGAGAAAACCCAGAGAGATATTTGGAGCTCCTTTGCATTTCACTCTGTACTCCCCCAAGGTTGGCTCACCAAAAGAGCCAGCTGGCATTTACTCAGCCTCTTCTGATACTTCTGCAAAGATGAAAGAGAAAGTGTAGATCTTAAAGGCATTTACCTAGCCTGGTGGCATTTGTTTAACCTGCCTAATGGCATAACCCCAAGCTGATTCTTACATCACATTTACTTCCTGGCTTCCCTGTATACAAAATAAATAGTTTTCTCTCCTTTATTCTGTTAAATCACTGCAAATTCCCCCCTCTAGATATCAGCTTAAGTCAAGCCAAATACAGCATAAGAAGAACATTTTGAATGAAAACATCCTTCAAGTAGAAGAATTGGGGAACCTCACTAGGGTCCAAACAGATCCATATAAGCAGAGGCATTGCTGTCCTTTGGCTGGTGCCTGTCAGGGCTGCCCAGTTCACAGAAGGGCCTCAGGGGCTTTGCATGGGTACCCACTCAGAGAGTTTTCATTCCCAGTGTATTTCAGGCTTGCTCATTTGTCTCAAACCTTCAACTGACCTTCCTAGCCATGTGCTACCATGAACAGAATTTCGTCAAAGGAAAATTCTACATTTTTTTTAAAAAAGGTGTTGTTTAGAAGGTCAGATGGGAGACAGGGGAAGGAACCGTGAGCTGAGTCCTTGCTGAATAATTTCAGTTAACAGGTCATTGACTGCTCATGTCATCTTTCATTGCTCATGCTAACCAGAGCAGACTCCTGGCCACTAGAATAAAATGCCTCCTACTACAGCTCTGAGGTTTTCAAAGCGGTAGCAGGTGCAGGTTCATGTGCAGGGCAAGTTACAGCCTGTCATGGTAAAGGCAGGGCTGGCCATGTCTAGTTGAAGTTCACTCTGGCCTCTGGTCCCTTGTTCTCTGCATTGGTACATATTATGTCCTGAAAATGGCAAGCTACTGGAAAAGATGGGGTGGGGGAGGTAGTGGTCTTTGTCTTGTGCGCCTCTGACAAGGTTCTCTGAATAGCTCTGGAAATCCAGCTCAGTAACACCTAGGTAGCACTCTTACCCCTGTCCTGTTTCTCCTGCACAACACAGTGGAAGTGACCAGGAGAAGTGATCTGACTGGATTTGAACTTGAATTCATTGTCAGTTTGTAAACAGAAACAGGGTGCAGTGTGAGTGAACATGGCCTGGCTTGCAAGTTATTTAATGAACCCTTTTCTCTCCCCTTTCTTTTCTAGCTCAACGACTCTGCCAAGCAACTCATTGAGATGGACAAGCCATGTCCAGCTGCCACAGCTGCATCTGGCTGTGACACTCCCTTGTCCTCTGAGTCCGGTGGGGTGGCCAACATGGCCCCAGGCCACACTCTAGGTAGCTCAGGGGCAGTCAGTGCCTTCCAGCGGCGTGTGGACAGCAAGAAGAATGCCAAGAAACGCCACTCCTTCACGGCGCTCAGTGTGACGCACAAATCCTTACAGGCTTCCAGCCACAGGCATTCCATGGAAATTAGTGCTCCAGTGCTCATCAGCTCCAGCGACCCCCGTGCTGCGGCCAGGATTGGGGAGCTTGTTCATCTGTCCTGCACTGTGCCCACCCAGGTATTGTTCTGTAGCTCAGAGCTACTGCTGTTGGGGTCTATGGGGTTCCACCTTCAGTTTTATGCCTTACAGCAAAGGGAGCCACCCTGAAACTGCTTTGAGGGTTATTGAGGCTTTCTCCTTCCTGCAGACTTTGGGTACCTTCTGGAGCCTTGTGAATGTGTGTGTGGTACCCTCTGTGTAGGGGGAAGGGGGGATTGCCAGTGACCCCAGGACATGGCCAAGCTGGCCTTGAGCCTTGTACTTACTAGGCAAGGGTTCTTGTCATTTAAGCTACATCCCAGCTCTTTTGCTGTGTAGTTTGTTTTTCAGAGAGTCTCTTGCCAACTTTGACCAAGCTGGCCTTGAGCCTCAACCCTCCTACCTCCATTTCCCAAGGAGTTAGGATAACAGGCATCGGCTATCATCACGGACCCTTCCAGGACACTCTTGTTTGTCCTTTGTTCCAACACCCTGGAGATGTTGAGCAAGATGCCCAGCAATGACAGGTGCAATTGTCATGATACTAGATTCTTCAGAACCTGCTTTGCTCTCACAGATGGTAACAAGGTTTGATGCCTCCAGTTCAGAGTTCAGGTCCCTCATCGGTAACCTGGAAAGTTGTATTTGACATAGATAGGTGAAAATTGTTCTAACAAATTCAGTTCAGATGCCAGTTACAGCAGGACTGGTGGGAGCCCCTAAGAAGGAGAATACAGTCCCAGGCGTACATATCACTTGTGTTTGTCTTTAATTTCTTTTCTCTTGGAAGAACTATGGCCTCCCTCGTTGAAGTTGGGAATCCCCATCAACCGGAGGAGGATGGGAGAGAGCAACTGGGAGGGAGATCTTATTCCTGAGGCAATTAAAGATGGCCCTGGCCACCAGAGCAAACCTACCATACTAGTCCTATAACTTGTGGGTATTGTTCCAAGTCTTACCCTCCCTCAGAGCTTGCTGGGAGTTGTGAAAATGGAACTCAGTAGGGCCATGGACATTAGCCTGACTATGCTATATTCCCAGGAGCAGAGCATCTCTGGTGACTTTCCCCATACGCACAAAACACGGGCTTTGCCCATGTAGGTGCTATAGCTGGTGTTCTGTTCTTCTCTTCATTCTGCCCTCCACCTACTCCTTGCTATTTTCCTTGGTGTCTGCTCTAGAGAGCCCAAGAGGCAGGAATGAAATGAATTTGCTTTTCTCAATTGTGAAGCACCTCATTCCATGAGGATTCATTTGTTGTTAGTGATCCATTTCCCAGCTGTTCAGTTTGAAGTGAGTCATGACTAGGCTGAAGGCATTCTTGTGTCACTACATCAGACTTGCAATCAAACAGAGCAGTCAAACTGTTTTCCTGTCTGAACAGAAGGAACACTGCATGTAGGTGAGCTGAGAGCAAGGCTGCAGGCCCCAGGATATTGCTGTAGTCTGACTGCTCAGCAACCAACCTTCTAGATCTGCCCTTGTTTCTTACTGGCCTCCTAATTCCCATTGCTTTGTTGGCCTCCTATGTCTGTCAGGAGGTCCCCATAGCCTGAGGATTGACACTTGCTTGCCAAGGCTAGCCAGATATCAGAACTACTGTGCTGCATGGAATATCCTTATCATTCCAGAAACACCCTAGGATGGGGAGTTATAGCTCAGAATTCCGTGGTCAGTTGGTGAAACTCTAGCTTTGCCATCATGGACCTGAAGAAATCTGATGCTGTTGTATGCACGTGTTTATCCATAGTAGGGCCTTTGTAAATCAGTGCACAGCATCATGTGTATTGGCCTCAGTGGGTAGAGAACTGGGTCCTGCAGCTCCAAGCTCCTCAGTGCCCACAGCAGTGATGCTTTGACCCCCACAGGGCTCTCAAGCCTTAGCACTTCCATTCAACAACACAGAACATCTTAACTCCTGGCAGGGTCAGCGGGGCAGACAGGTGAATAAGGCTCTCACAGTCTAGAACCTACACTGACATACTGACATGTTCAGCTGTCCTCCCTTGCCTACCCAGGACCTCCCAGGTGGTAAGAGAGGGGTATTGTAGGAACATAGTTTTAAGTGTTGTTCTGTGGTTTCTTTTGGAGGTATGGCTGCTGTCCCTGATGGTTATCAAATGATTACTGAGCACTGTGCTGGGTTCTGTAGATAGGTCCACACTTGCTGTCTGTCCTGGAAATTCAGCCAGCTGCAGTAGAAAAGGAGCCATTTGTTGGGCACCATGCTGAACTCTGGCTTGTAGCCAGGCTTGGCTTCAGCAGAGGCTCATTGGTGAAATGGGCTCTGATGGGGGCCTTGTAGGACATCGTGTAGTTAGAGGAAGCTGTATGTGAAGACCGCCATACATCAGAAAGGGCCGCCAAAACCTGAGCCACTGTGGTGCCATTTAATTGGCTTGATTCTAAAATCCTGTGGTGGGAGATGAAGCAAATGCAAACCAAATCCAAGCACACAGAGAACATCAACAGTGACTCATGCCTAAGCTGGATGAGGGCTGTCAGCTGGCCCACCAGTGTAACTGACCTGCTTCCCTCTCTCTTTTGTATTTCCTTAAAATGTAAAGGAAGCATGGAGGGTTATGGTTTCCACACAAAGGACTAAAACCCAGAAGTTTTCCTATTTCTCAGAGTGTTGTGAGCCTCCTGAAACCTGAAAACTCAGGATGCAGAGCTGTTGAGAGGCCGATGCCTCTGCGTGCCTGGCCAGGACCATGTTTGCTTGTCCAGCATGTACACCTCCGTGACCTTACCTCCTCTGCCTTGCTTCTTTTTTTTATTTTTTATTGTGAAAATACTGTACAGAGGAGTTACAATTACATGGGCAAGATAGTGAGTACATTTCTTATCAAGCATTGCAGCCTCCTCCTTTGTTTACCCTTCCCATCCCTTCCCAGCCTCCACCCGGCCCCCCCACCTAACCCTCCCCTCCCCACCGAAGTTGTAAAGTTCGTTTTCGACATGACAACTTGTACTTCTCATTGTTGCAACGGGCCCACTTGTATCCTTATTTAAACAACTTGTTTTTCCCCTTCCCCGCCACAAATTATACTGACATCAAATACAGTGAAAGCAGGGGTTGTACTGTGGAGGAGGGACATACAAAGCAACAAAGAAATAATCTTATAAATGCGTTAGAAACAAATGCATGAAAGAAAAAAACATTTAAATTCATATCTTAGGGTTCATTTTCCTAAATTCACCTTATCTGACCTTTTCTGCTTGACTCATACATATACTAGATATTGCAAATAAGGGAAACCATGGGACCTATGTTTCTTTGGGCTTGGCTTACTTCACTTAA